AATTACGGGTTGACGTTAAAACTTTTAACGCGCGCGGCGACTACACTTGCCGCAGCGAATAAAGCTAAAACTGTGCTTTATCATGTTTTAATTTACGATTTAATTTTACAATGTACAATTTATAAAATAATTCAAAGACCCGGAAAATAAACTGGAACATTATCGTGCAAATTGAGATTGTCAGGATTATCGCGGTTATTGCTAATCGACATCTCGTTGAATTTGGGATAGAATCTTTTAATTCGCGATAAACGTCGTTCAATTTGTTTCTGCGTAAACGAGCTTATTTAACTGACAGTTACATATAATTCACGAGATAACGCGAGCGTCGTGGGATTTCACTTGCCCGCCGCTAAAATGGTTGACTTAAAACGTTAGATTTCACCGGCTGTGCACATATTCGCCGAGAATTTTGGGTCGCTCGATTCCGCCGTTACCTACGTCAGATTCACGCGCTACTGCCACGAGATATCACCGCCTTCATCAGTCACGAGTAAACATTGCTGACAGCTGATTTGCTAATTGCCGCCGTACATCTGAGCCTAGCCTTTGGATATCCGGGCATACAATCGCCATAGAGGCGCTAATGCGGCCGCAAATAGGCGCCGGTAAATTGCCAATCCAGCGATTAATCGAATTTGATTGGATCTTTGCCTGAAACTCGATTATGCAGGCGCATCCAAGTCTACTTTTATAATCGATTGTTCGCATTTACAATGGATTGATTTATCTTTAGCGCAGAAACGTTTAATATAGATGATGCAAATCTTGCAAAAGAGGTCGATCGACAAAAGGTATTCTCGAAACGTCTGAATAACTCCACGAAATACTCTGTAAATTGTGAACTTGTAAACTCTGTTTTGCAACGACAATCTATATTAATTTATAAACAAGACTCTAGAATGAAAGGATTAAAGTTTAACTATGTTTAATTGCAGTGCTGTACGTTGAACATTCAACTTAACGTCGCTTTCCGCGACCGGGGATAATTACATCAGTACATTGCGGTGCTCCGCGGGGGCGGGGGGGGAGGGGGGAGGACGGAAGGGGTAAGGCGTATCCCATTTTACGACGAAAATAATAGGATTTCCGTGACGTTTCTCTGTACGATGTTTATCATATTATTCGCATAAAATGTAGCCGGGTGTGTCCTGAAAAAGCCAAAACCAAATGGCGCAAGTGACCGGAAGGCATGCATAATATTTCTATTACGCGCGTTTAATTTACGGTCTAACGAACCCGGTTACGCGAACGTCAAAATGAAAAGTTTCGAAATCGGACTCTCTGTCCCGCGGGCTTTGCATAATTAACCGAAATTTCTCGAACTCGTCGCGCGCGAGCTCCGCTCGCGACGTGATTTCACGAATCGGAAATTCACGCGAGTGCGCGATCGTCGTCGTCATCGTATCGAGATTGGATTTTCTCTTCTTCGGCTATTACCCTCGACTGCGGGTTAATCTATCAACGTCAGCCGCGTTATCCGTTGTTACCAACGCTCGGATTCAAGAACTCGGCCAATATTACGTGGCTAATGTTATGCAACTTAGCGGTGGTGCGGCACATGTAAGGGTGCCGGAATAATTACCGTCTTCGTATAATCAATAAAAGGATTTCGAAGAGCGGTCGACTTTGGCGATCACTTAGAGAAACGCGGCGTAACCGTACGGTTTGACGAGCTCTCTCCGCCCCGCCTATTCCGGGTGACCCTATTTCTTTCTTCTTTTCTTTTTTTTTTTTATTTATGTTCCGCGAGTGGAAACGCGACTGGAAATTCACTATTTTACTGTGCTATGCATGTATACCATCGCGCTCGAATTTTGTTTAATTTTAAAACGTTTATCCGACAATTTCCGCTATTGTTTATTTGTTTGTTCGATTTTGCAATTGTGAGAATATGTATGGCGGCGATCGCTCTAATTAATATTAAAATGTGCTATTATTAGCATATCTTGTATTGCACATTTGTACTGTATGGATTATAATATCTGGTGCATTTGGACTATTAATTCATATTTCATTCCTCTTTTTTGTTGGCGTAGATTAAATATTAGAAAATGCCGCACGATATATATGGCCGGGATATTTCCGGGTAGACAGTTTAATGCCTTATGAATAAAGGTAATAGGCCTTGTTTATGAACTTTAAGGACTTTATCGATTTTGCCGAGTTCCTTTTAACAAGATATTTCTCATTAAAAATAAAATTTCTCGCTTTGGCTTTTAATTCATGATTATGCTGACACACACAAGATGGATCATTAATGTTACAACTAATGTAATGAACAATTACTTGATTGCGAGTAATTATGGCAAATATATGATACTTCAATACTTTTGGGCAATATTATTGGTAATAATAGTCTCTTAATTTCGTTGCCATTAATGAAAACATATTACATCTACACGTTTGAGTATTTTCAATTATTTACTTTTCATTTTATTACTCTGAAAGCATTACTGCAACTTTCTAGTCCGTAACAATTTTGTACATTTCTAATATTTTCTTTCTAACGTAATTAATAAGCGAAAAGAAATTCGACTGTATAAATGACTTTTCTTATTGAGTGATATCAGTTTCACAGTTATTTTCTTTACTCATTACTTTACTCGTTTTGCGTAATTATTTATGTCACATTTAATATCACTTATTGTGACGCTTTTGAAGAGAGAACAACAACAGGAAAACTCAGAAAAACAGGAAATCTTGGATGGAATGTACTTGTAAAGCGGTAGAAGAAAACAAATGAACATTGTGACTCTGCGCATTCGTTTTTCTACAATAAATTAAAATCCTAAGCACCGCCACAACGACATACATCGTGTATTTTACGTTTGAACTTATGCGAGCACTCAGCGCCGTGTCTCGCTGCATTACATCACCATCTCGTAAAGGTGTATCGTGGATGTTGTCTTTTATCGAAACACCCCGAGTAATTTTTATTCCCTCTGTCGATTCACTTCCTCAGATCGTCGATTCACTTTCCCAGATTTCGTGGATCTCTCTCTCCCTCCTCTCCCTTCCTCCCCCCCTCCTCTCTCTC